AAGAAAAAATGGGAACATAATGTAGACTTTCCTACAATGAAGACTTTCCTGCTATTCTGGATTTCAGTAAGTACCTCTGGGACTTCAGGGAGAGATTTTTTTCCTCAAGTGCTATTGCAAGCATGTCCCTGTGGGGAATTGGCCTTTTCCAGGCTAGAGCAGTCCAGCCTCTTTAAACAGTCTTTCTGTAAATATCTAATCCATTAACAAATTAATTTCTGATTTTGAGGCCATACTGATAGTGGACATACAGCGTTCCCAGTAAAACACAGAAATTAGCCATTTCCTCTTGGAAACGAAGCCCTGACTACAGTGGAAAATCCATGCTCATGGCCTTCTCAGAACATGGCCTGCGATACTAAATTTTTGTCAGTTGTTTTGGCACAAGTTCTGGCCTCTGCTGGAACAGTGGCTTTTATATCTCAGTCTGTCTTGATCTCTAAGATATTGGGGTTGGATATCTACCTACGGATAGCCAGTGGCCTAACCTTGTTCATACAGTGCAAATGCCATAGTCAGCCCTAGTCAGACAATGTACTTTCTCCTTATAAACAGTAAAATATATCTGGAATAACCCACTTTATGCAGAAAGTTGATTATTGAATCATGTTTGTTGATAGCTAACACTGCTGTTTTCATCTCATCCTTGTTGTGGCTTTAAGAATTTAATCCAAAATGCTACTCCCAGAGAGAAAAAGTGACCAAAAAGAATTTCATTTAGCCTAGACAGTCCGTTCTGAAAATATATAATGACTGTGAAAGTATCTATTAAAACTCAACCCACCTGACTCAAGAGAGCTGTACAAAATGTGCATTAAGACCAGACATGCTAACTTCCAAGGCACTAGCAAGTTACTTTCCGTTGCCTCATGACAGACAGCACTATCCAGCACAGTAAATAAGAGTAATCAGAAATAAGCTCACAAGAAGCTCATCTTTTAATTTTTTAATTCATCCCTAATTACTAGGGATCAGAGGAAAGGCAGAAGGAAGCATTCTGACGATATCAGGGAAAATACTGTTGCAAGAATAAAGTAAATAGCAATTAGCTAAAAACTTTAGTCTGCTTGATTGGAAATCACTAATAAAAAGTGAGAGAAGATTGTAGTACCAGGTCTCAAGCAAAGATAAGGAGCTATTTTGCTGATTGTCTCTTGCTGGTCAAACATAGGAGTGTTCCTAACAAGCAGGGAATACTGAATGTATTTGATGGTGTCTCTGAGCAGACAGAAGTACATCCAGGGGGAGAGACAGAAATATCCTGCAGGGAACTTATGGGTATTCTCTGTTCAGTCAGAGAGAAGAGGAGAGATTTCTACCAGGTTCAGCCTGGTAGAAATATCTCCTTTTCTCTCTGACTGAACTGAGAATATCCATAGGAACTAATCTAGAAAAGGCCAGTTACAGGACCAAGCAACAGCAGTAACTTTATGTTTATAATATTTAAGTAATCTGTAAAGGAAATATGATGGTGTGTTGTGTAAAGAGCAGAGTCAGGCCAGTGCTTGCTTCTGTATGTTTTAGGTAATACAGTATGACAAACCACGTCAGATCAATGGTGCTGATTAATGAACACCCCTGGAAAGGTAGCTATCAAGAGATGAAAGGGTCCAGACACAAATTTCAGGAGGGAGAAGGAGGATCGGTTCCTCAGAATACAGAGTTATGGTCCAGGAGCCCATTAATCATCAGCATTATTATGTAAAGCACCACATTTTCTCCTGACTTTATGCCCATTGCAACTGCACTGAAGTCAGTATAAAAGTGACCTAAAGTGTACGTCTTAAATCACAATCTGTAGTACATCACTACTCTCATAAAATGGACCTTCCTTAATAAAAACACTGATACAATTAATGTTCCTCACACCCTCTAAATTACCAGATAAAACTTGGAAAGAGCAAGGTGGAATAAAAGTGAGCATATATAAAATGCCCAAGTTACTATCATTAGTGGGAATATTTAAGTAATAAAGTCTGCATTTCTGGAATGCATTCATGCAGAACATTTATCCTCCAAAATCTTAATTAAGCACACAGTACCCCATGGAACAGAAATGTAATGGTTTCCTTTTCTGGATAGAAGAGCTCAGGTAGACAGGGGAAAAGTTACTTAACCCAGTGTCATACATCGCATTCCTCTGTTGTACTGCTTGTCTCTCTTTTACCCAATCTTCTTATGGTAGAAGATCCTTTTCCACTAATTTTTCCAAAGTTAAATTACATTTTTTACAAAATTTGGGGTATTTCATTCTCTGTTGCAATACTAGTGTCTTAAGAAGTACTATCAGCTTTGTTGATTTTATGTTCTTTGAAAAGTGCCTCACAGCTGCTGTGGATCTCAGTGCTTTATGCTCATCACACTGGAAGAGAGATATCTTCCCAGGCCATTGCAAAAAACATGGAGGAAAATGAAGATATTTTAAGTATTGCCTTTCACAGAGATTTTTGAGCCCAGATTTTGTAGAAGACTTCCAACAGCCCATCTCTAACAACTTGTCTGCCTGACCCTTGATGGGAAGCCAGATTGAGTGCTAGGCAGTGCTACAAGAGAGAGCCACTTGGATTGGGATCCCAGAGATTGGAAGAGCAATAATGACACAAAAAGAGAGGTGACAAAATATGCAGGATTAGTACATGCAGTTCTTAGGCTTCTCTTGTGTGAAATTAGGAGTGAAGTGAGCAGGAGTTCTGCTGAAGTAAAGACTAAAGACCCAATCCTGTGATTTTTCTGCTTCTAGTACAAGTTAAAAATGCACGTTATCTGCAGTACTAGGCAGTCTCTAAGGCACGTGGGATTTGTGCCTTAAAAAGGTGAGCAATAGCCAGATAAAAGACAGACTGATGTGTGCAAAGTGGATGTAAGAAGCAAGGTCAGCTTTAACAGAACAGGTGGGGCGCATATGGAGGTGGGAAGGAGAGCTTGAAAGTAAGCCATGATGAATGTTAGCAAGGACTTAAATCTACAGAATCCTTGGGCGTTACGGCACCTTTGAAATTCAATCCTTGGTACTGGTCAACAGTGTCACTATTTATGTAATTCTTTCGAACTAACCTGATGCATGTGGTTCCTCTCCCAAGCCCTGGTGAAACTCAGAGGTTCAGGCTAAGTTGTGGATTTTGTGTGTGTGTGTTTGAATTTACTTAATTTGCAATTCAAAGCAGACTCCAAGAGGGGAGAACCTAAAAAAAACTGGAATCAAAGAAAATGTTTGCTTGAGCCCCTGTAAAATGTAGCTGCCAGGTTTCATGCAGCCTGTTGAAATCAGAATTTAGTATATATCCCAGTCACTAAGAAAGATCAGCCTTACAAAATGTGTGAATTGAACATAAAACTGAATGTATATTTTGTGAAGTACATTATTACAGTGTCATCTAAAATCCCTCATTGTGTCTGTTGGTGCTCATTGGAGTGTTCCTGCTGCACGAACAGTGGGGATTTTTTGTGTTGCATTTTCAGACAAATTCCAACTTGCACAGTGATATTAGCTACCTGTGAAATAACAATTACATCTCTTACCATTTTTCATTCACCTTCCTGATTTCTTTGATAAAACAAATATTTGCTTTTTTGGTCTGCTCAGAGTAGGCAAGATCATTTCTTCATGGAAGTGGTACCAGTGGCTTTACTGTGGACAGGACTGAATATGCTGGTGTCTCAAGAGTTCTTTACATAAGTGAAGTGAGCAGAATTTAATTCTGTACCTGAACGTCAACTTCAGACATACCAAAGGATAATAAGAAGCTAGCAAAGGAGGAGTTCTCTTAGTCTAGAGGGGGATTCAAGCCCCCCAAAAATGTAAATACTCTCAAAAGCTAAGATCTGGATAGTGAAATCACCATCTAATAAATATTGGAGCAGATGTTTTTTTGTGGATCCCTTCGCATCTTAGTTCATTGGTTCCAGCTATCTGTTTAGCTCGGAAGATTTCAGAGATAAAACTGCTGCTGAGCTGAACCTTTCCTGCAAGGCTGGCAATAAGTTACTTCCCTGGTGTCACTGCAGTAGACTAGGTGGCTGATGAGAGAAAAGTGGGGTTTCTGCTTTGATATTGTTATAAATTATGACACAGGACCAATTTGTGTCACTTTAAAAAGAGAATTTTATTAATTTAGCAAGCAAGCAATACGGGCAAATGCAGCGCTGGGCAACCAGGGAGCCTCTCTCTCCCTGCTCCACCCATGGCTCGCATCAGTTCCTTATCTCGGTCCTTCTTTATAATGTATCATTTTCTGCTGACATGGCCTTCTACGGATGTGCTTCCTGTTGTTAGGGGGTCTCTTTTTCTGCTGTCCGGTGGTCATTTGAGGAAAGCTCCTATTCTTCTTCCAAGGTAGCGTTAATTCTGCAATAACTTCTCCAAATATGGTTACGCAGCTTGCAAAGATTTCTCAATTCCACAATCTATTGATTCCATACATCCTGCCTTCCTGCCCCACTGTTTCCTGCGTCTTACACAATCCCTAGGGCTTTTCCTGATGAACAAAAACTATGCTATTGTCTTTCACAATATGAGCCATGCTTTTTGTGAGGTAAAGACAGCAAAAGACACGAAGGAGGATTCTTTCCTTCCTTTTCCCACCTTTCAGTCCTGAGGAACTGTTTGCTTCTGCTTGGAACAGGAGTGGCCTTGTCGTTCTGATGAGATGCACTTGAGTGCCAGGTCTGTGCTAGCTCTCCATCAGTGCTCCGTGCTCATGCCATTGGAGTCAGCAACTCCTCAGAAGGAATCCTGCTGATAGCCCTTTGGGGACCAATCCTCCCTCTCCTCCTTGCTTCACAAGATGAGGTGGCATGGGCAGACTGGGGTACCTGGGGACTGACTCTGTGGTTGTTTGCAGCCAGGGCTGGAAGATTGTAGCAGGAATTCAGCACTACCAGGCTGCTGCCAGCTGTACTCACAGCACAGAATGCCAGTTAGAGTTGTAGCAAGTTTTCTTGCTCTCAGTAAATAATTATTATTTCCTTCTGACCTTTCCTTTTGATTCTTCCTGGTACAGACACAGCCTCTCTCTGTTCCCTGCCCCAATGAACGTCTGCACTAGGTCCAAGGCTTGGAGTAATTTACCTGAAGAGTGATACCGTTTGGAAACCACTGTAAGTATATTTTATCTCTTATAAAAGGCTTCTTGTTCAGAAAAAAAAAAGACATCTTACAAAAACAAAAACAAACTGCAGCACCTGTGAGCCTTACTGATGAGGGTAAACTAAGTTTTGCTTTTGAAATTTGCAAGGAAATATGTGGGCAAGAAGTATGTCAGTAAAAAGCTGTTAAATATTTAAGTCATAGCCTCACAGCATAGTTCAGCAATGGCTGGTTTGATCTGCTTGTATTTTTTACTTTGGCAGGTCCACCCTACTTATTGCTCTAGTTCGTGCTGTTCTAGTTGGTTCATCCACGTTTGTCTTTGCAGTGTTTGTCTTCTCTTTTATTCTTATTACTTTTTAATGCGACACCTTTCCTCTCATTGGTGTTTCAGGCAATACAGATGGAATCTACTGCAACTTCTTAAAGGTTTACACTGTTCTTTCTGGGCCCTGAGACATTTATGACTTAAGGCCATAACAATTTGGTAGATTTAACTGGATTACATAGGTAAAGTTGCCTGGGAGAATTCTGACTTTGCATTATGGTTTTATTATGCTCTGAAATGACCATTTGCCTGATATTTGTACTTTCTCCCCCATAAATACAATAGTTTTGAATTCTTTTGATCAATTCACAGTAATTGTCAGTATGTGACAGTGTTAGCATAGCTGAGATTCTCTGATGTTACAAGTCAAACAAGCTCTGTAGTCAGGACCCAGCTCTCATGAGATTTGTGGTTTATATAGAATAAATGGACAAATTTTGGGCCACATAAACCCTACCTCAGGCCTGAAAAGGACCCAGCAAATTTCAATCTTACTTTAACTTAATCTCTGAGTTTAATTTAATTATGTTAATCAGTCTCCTGTAAGGGATTTTGGAGTTTATTTTACTTTTCTGTGTTGATTAAATTTTCCAGGCTTTTATTGCACTAGAACATTGGGTCTCTCTTGTCAGTTCTCCGTGCCTCCCATTCTTGCTTTGCCGTGTTCTGCTGGGATTTCTCTTTCATATTACATTTTATGGCGATGTTTTCAGGAGTTTGTGTTTTCCATTGTATGACACAAACTTGCAATCAGAGATTTTAAACAAACTGCCAGTCATGTAGCTGCAACAGCATGAAGATCAATGTGGCTGTAAAATCATCAGAGAAGCTGTGTGAATATTTAGGCAGTCAGCCTGTGCAGGACTTTTAACTACTGAAGCAACACTTCTGGCAGGAAAACTGTGATGGTTCAGGTGATTTAAAGGGAGCTTGTCTTGGGAAGCTTCACCCTCAGCTCTGGCATTCAGTGTGCCCTGAATTTTGGGGTGAGGACTCTGGGCAGATTTTAGTGGGTTTTTGTTGTTCTTTCAGGCCTATTTTTTTATATTCAGTGATTGTACTCATCTCTCTCTCTTTACTTTGTCAGTTTCTAAATATGTATTGTCAATGTCATGTCTGGAAGAGACACAACACTGGCAGTGATAAGCACTGATATCAGGAGCTGTGTTAGTCGCACACAGGCAGAGGAAGAATGTGCAGCAGAACACTCAGGGAAAATATTGCTTAAAATCAGACGTGAACTATTTTCACACTCTTATTTTTAGGATTTGAAAAGCTGGAGGTTTTGTTTTTTGTTGGCTTTTTTTGGTTTTTTTGTTTGTTGTTTTTTTTTTTTAATTCTGTACAGCCTCTATGAATTACTAAGGTTACAAACTAACTGTGCACCAGTGAGTTAAGTGCAGTGCTTGGACGCTACAGGTATCTCTGACCTGAGGGCACTTAGTATAAGGTGATGCCATAGACGTGAAGAGGCAAAATAATGCCTGAAACATGGGTGGGCAGACTCAGCCAGCAGCAGCACTTACAACAACATCAGCAACCCTGTGGCATGTTCCCTCTGTGCTGCTTAATATGCAACAAACAAAGGTCTGGTTGGTGACCCAGCCCTCCCTGTATTCAGAGGCTGAAAACTGCCTCATTATTGTTCATTATGTACTATTATTCTCATGCAGTCACATTATCATAGCTTCCCCTGAGAGCCAGGATGCTGCTGAGGGCTCTGCACAGCTACACTGGTTCCTATACCTGAGCTAATTTGTTCAGTGCTAACCTGATGTCTCTGCAGGACAGAGAGCTATTCCCCTTGTAAGGGAAGGTTCAAGCATTAGGTATAACTGCTGTGTGAGAAGTACAACACATACTGTCTATTTTTGACAGGGACCTAGTTTGCTGGCCCCTGTGAGAACGTGCTAACTCATCCAGGGGAAATTCATTCCAAACTCAAGTAATGGTTGCAAGGGAGGTACATGCAAAGAAATCAACTGTGGAGAGCAAGTGGAGGGTTGAGGGAGAGAAAGTTGTATGCAAGAGTAGCAGCAAGAAAGGAGAAGTGTGGCAGGGGTTTTAAAGGCATTCCAAAGCTCAGAGGTAGTAATTAGTTTCTAGATAGCTTTGAGGTTAGGACATCCAAAATATTACCCATTCTGCCTTCAGATGGAACAGAAATGAGACAATTCTAGTTTACAGTCAGTGCCCAGATCATTGTAGCCACTTCATCATTGTGAGTTGGCCAAAATTTGGGATCTTGTTCTATGATAGTGCAGTGTTAAGGTACATGGAAAGGAGCAAATGCCTCAGTGCAATGAGGATGCTGACAGAAAACAGAAATAAAATTATGGCAGTGATTGTACATTTGCTGTACACATAAGCTGACAAACACTGATATACACAGTTCAGTTCAGGAAAGACAGGGGAGGCAGTTAGTTTACTGTTAGGTGCTGGAGAGCATACAATGAACCAAAAAGAGAATATATTTTAAGTGGTGTAAATTAACATAATGAAAAATAACAATAAATAGCACAATAAATATGAGGGAATGCTAAAAGTGAATACCAACAAAATGAAAGTACGTGGACATAGGATAGAAAATTTGAAGCGATAGAGTAGGTAGGATGTTTAGAAATAAACTGGATAAATCTCTTGTAAATCAATAGCAAATATAAATTCTGCAGAGACCCTCTAAATTTTGAAAGTCAGCATCTTTTCTGTTCCCAGCTTGTGGGATTCTATGCGTCAAGTCCAAGTACCAAAGTGCCATGTCTTTGCTGTATTGCCCTTCTGCCATTCTTCACAAGGAGCAAGGATGATGATGGCCTGCTGATAATGTTAATAATGAGTTCAGTATTGGAAAGGAGTTGTAATGCACCACAGGTATGTGTAGAGAAGGAGATAATCAGAGATCAGAACGGAGCCCCTTGCTCCAAGAGCACATTCCCAAATCTTTTGCATTCCAAACATGGCAATTACTGTCCTTACTAACAAGTAAATAGCAAACAGCTCTTTTCCATGATTAGTATGTAGAGAAGAATGTAATCTTAAGAACTAAAGCAGCAAGGTAGACTGTCCCTTACTACTGAAATAATCACATAGGATTGCCTATCAATGAAGTCCAGAGATGGGACATACATAGGAGTAATTGGGAAGGTTCCATAAACAATATTTATTACTTGTTTCATTCTTGCTCCTACCCTTGTTCTTTCAGGGTTTTTGACATTGCTATAACAATTCACAGTTTTCCAAAGCTAGTGTGCCATTTTTACCTTCTGGAACACGGAAATATATTAGAGAGCTTGCTGATGGAAGTGTTCATAGAAGCAGTGTGCAATCAGAAAAAAAATTAGGTTGGAAGGGTCCTCTGGAGGTCTGTAGTCCAATTCCCTGCTCAGAGCGGAGCTGACTTCCAAGTTGGATTAGGTTATTCAGGGCCTTGTTCAATTAAGTTTGGAAAATCTCCAAGGATGGAGATGCCATAACCTGATTGAGTACTTAACAACTGTCCCTGTGAAGACTTATAGCAAAAAGATAGCAATAGAAGTAGACTATGTAAGAGAATGTAAGATTATTTAATTAAAATATATAGGTGAAGATTATGGTAATAGGAGCTTTCTGTATGGGTGATAAGGTAGAACAAAAGAAAAGCAATATACTTAAAATAACACCAGGATTGCTGTAGTTTTGCCTTTGCTGGTAACAGTAGATGGACATTGCAGACTGGAGAACTTTGGGTTTCTTCATAGGTAGTTTTGATCACAGTGTCCCCAGGTTTTTTCTTTTCTGAAAAGCTTTCTTTAGATCTTTAGCTGACTTTGCTGATTCCTTAGCTATCCTCCTGTGGAAGCCTCCATTCCTTTCAAGTGGTAGTGACATGCAGCCCATGTCTGAACAGTGAGAGAAATGAACTGCTGTGGAGAGGTGTCATCTCCAGTGCCAGTCAGCACCACTGCTGTATTCTTACCATCCTAGTGAGCAAAAGTCACCGAACTGCAGGACTGTAGTGTGGAAAAATGATGACACAAGAGCATCTTGATAATACAGTGTCAGCCTTAGGACCAAAGTAGAAAAACTATGGGTTTGTGCTGCGTCTCCCCCTCAAATCCAAGGGTCAGATTCCCTGGGGAGCCCGGTCAGCTGGGCAGTTGGGGTGAGGCGGGCAGAGGGAAGGGTTTCTCCTTGAATCCCGGGGGGCCTGGAGAAGCCCCACGTGAGTCCAAAGACGAGCTGGTCCCACAAGCGAAGAAAGAGGCGCTCTCCCTCAGGATTAGTTCCAAAGTTTAATGTCACCTCGAAGGAGTCCCGAGCAAGAGAGGGCGTGTCCCCACCCAGACCAGCCAGATATAGGGGGGCGGGGAAACCTGAACAGCCAAAGGGGGAAGGACATGGGAGTGGCTCTCTGGGGGCAAGGCCTCAGAGTGACCACTGAGGAGGGGGTGGGGGAGGAGTCCCAGCCAGGGTCCAGTTACCTGGTGACCCTGGGAGAAGGGTCTGGACAAAGGGGAGTGGTCAGCAGGTGATGGACACATCACCTGGGGGGAGACAGGGGGATGGGTTGGGGTTTGATGGACATACAGGTGCTGATGGGAAAGCTGGGATGGGCCAAACAGATACAAAGAGGGGATACACAGTGCAAACACAACTCTGCAGGTTTGGATAGGAAGAAGCAGGGAATGCTTTGCACAGCCTTCTTGGTGTCACTACCTGTTAAAAACACTATAGTGTTTTTAAATCTGTCCCTCTAATGAGTTTTGAAGGCCTGGGAGGCACAGGCAGGATCAGCCACAGGATGACACATCAGTCAGTGCTTGATTTAACAGAACTATAGCTGTGTTAGTTGACTGACAAGTCTTGTTTACTCAGACTCATTCTGCAAATAACAGCAGTCTCTTGCCCAGGGTAGGCAGCTTTGTGTGTGGACAGACCTGGAGTCAGAGGCTGTATTCCAAGCATGTAACATGGGCTAACTCTGAGCTGAAACCAGACCTTAAATACAGCAGTTCAGCTCCTGGGTACAAAGAACTTCATTGCCCTGTGCATACAGAGTCCAAGCCTACGTACAGCCTTTGTTCCCTGGCCAAAAAGGTGTGCTATCTGAAAGCTGCTTGGGTAGCAATGCTGTAAAGACCCACTGGTTTATGCACAGATTTCCTGCAGTCCCCAGTGCATGCTGGCTGCACATGGGAATGTCCTGGGCACTGGAAATGAGGTGTGTGAAGGTGTGCCAGAATTCATTTGGATCATGCCAAAGATCCCCGTGGACTGTTACAAACAAAACATATGCGGTCCATGTACCTTAAAATATATATGCCCACTTAGAGCAGCAATACCATCCGCCCATCCCGTGGCATGGAGACGGTAGTCCCAGTAACCCAAAAGGCACCGGGGCTGCCAGAAGCTGCGGGGTTATCAGCGTGACCCCTCGCTGGCCGTGGTGCACCCGCAGAGCTCAGCTCAGCTCCCCGGCCGCACCCCGAACCCCCGGCCAGCTGCCACCGGGCGCCTCTTGCTGCCCCTCAGCCGACCCACGGCATCCCTTCCGCGCCCACCACCTCCTGGGGAGGCTTTGCGGGAGGAAGGGTGGGGAAAGGGCTTGTTTTCTGTCTTTATGGCCCGTTTAACTTATATTTTTATTCTGATTTTCTTCCCCGCTCTGCTCCTCGGGGCGGGGCGGGCCGGGCCGGTGCTGCCTCCCGGCGGCGGCCGCGGGCAATGGCGGCGGGTCGGGCCCTGCCCCCGGCCGGGCGTGCCGCCCTTATGTAAGGCCTTTATGTAACCCTGCTCGCCGCCCGGGGCTCTCCGCGCTGTACGGCCCCTTTAGGGATGGCGAGCCCTCAAACGTGGCCCTCGAGCCCCGTCCCGGGTGGGACGCAGGGGGGCAAAGGCGCGCGGGGAGAAGCGGCTCCGTCCCTGGCCCGCCGTGAGGAGAGCCCCGGGCTGTGGAAAGGGCTGTCCCGGCAGGCAGGACGTGCGCCCGGGGTGCCCCGGCGCTGCTCGGCGGTCGGCAGGAGATAACGGGCTCCAGCCTGCCCGGCTCCTGCTGCTCTCCTGCGAGTGACCGCGGTTCTCCCCCCGGCATGCGGCCACAGCAGCCGATGTTTGCCGGGTGCCCCGGCCGCAGCCTGGCCCGGGGTAGCCCTGTTCCCTCCGGAGGCTGCATCCCGGGCTGGCTCGGGGAACACGGAGGGAGCAGCTGCACCTGTGCAGCGGAGGCAGGACAGTGAGGCGGGTGGTCGCTGCGTGAGCCAAAAGCTGCTTTGCCCCGTGCCTTGCCTTCTCCAGCCGTGAAGCTAAGGTGGTGCCTGACTCCCTGCTTGATGTACCACTGAGGCTTAATTCCTTGGAGGTTCTGGGTGGCGGGAGGTGTTGAGAGCTCGTGTGCCGAGTGCTCATAGGCAGTTGTTTCAGGTTCCAAGTCAATGCTTTACTTAGATGACCTCTGCATCTCAAAATTGCCTCAGTGCTTTTCCCTACAAAGCAAGTCTCAGCACTGATTTGTTTTGAACTGGAAACTTGCATATTTGTTTGCTTTTCAGACAATTCTGTTATATTTGTGTGTAACTCTGTCTATTCAGAATGCTACAGCCTTGGTTAATATTTGTCAAACGGCATTCTGACTGTCTAAACTACTGGGACGAGTTTCATTTTATATGTCATCAGTAGGGGCAGAATAAGGAGCTTCGTGCTTGGCCTATTTGCTGTAACACAGTCTCAGGGCCATTGCATCAGAGTCAAAACAAGGAGCAGCTTGTTTCCAAACAAAAAGTATGGAGGAAAGTCTTCTCTGCGTCCTTCCCTGTAAGGGAAAAGAGAGGCAAGAGGGGGGTGGTGGTGGGGGAAGAAAGTTATCTTTAACAGATTCTAAAAATGCCTTTTCCCAAATATGCAGTCAGTCCCTTCAAAGGTCTCTTTGTTTATTTCAGGAAGAAACCCAAGACAGCTGAAAACCAGAAGGCGTCTGAGGAGAATGAGATTACTCAGACGGGTGCATGCAGCGCCAAGTCGGGCCTTCCCTGCCTGAACCTTGAAGCTGTTCCTTCTCTGAGCCCGGCCCTCATCCACTCTCCACATTCGCCAACAAACCTGCACACACACACAGGGTCATCTGATTGTGAGTACACCAACATGCTGCTGGGGTTCTTGAAAACACCTCCCTTACTGTGCACCACATTTTCCAGTTGGATGCTCTTCCCATAATGTCATAAACAAGACCTCCTCAGGGCTTACCTTTTCCCTTCTTTGGGAATTACATCTAAAGCAGAATAGTTTTGTGTTAAGGTTGTGATAATACAATCAGCCAGAAAAGACTGAGAGTGTGTTGTTAGGTCAGGTTGCTGCTTACTACAAATTAAAAAGGGAAAGACCCCTCCAGCATGTCCCTGTCCAACTAGAACTGGTGCTCCTCTCCAGGTAGTCACAAGCTTCTCATTACCCAACCATGTCTCCTGACTGGGGGATTTCAGTCTGTGCTGAAAACATGTGCTTGGCTCTGCAGCCCAGGATTGTAAAGTTTCCATGAAGAAAGGGGAGCATTTTGTGGAGAGGTTCAGTCTGTGAGAGTCTGGAAAATCTTTGTAGATCTGTGTGGTTGTACCAGCTTTAAGGCACTTGTTTTGAGGGCATTGATTTTCAGATTACTCAGCATGGGTTAATTGCCGTTTAGAAAATGTTCTTCTCTATTTTGCCAAAAAATACAAAAATAAGGGAGGGGATTATTAAAACTGGATTTTGGAAAGTCACCTTACCTCACCAGCTCTTCAAAACATTGTCATTTCACAGAGGTCCTTGCCTGGAAGTCTCTTGGGCAAGAATGTGCAGAGTAATGTGAATCTCATCACTCACTAGTTTTAGAATATATAGTTTACCTCTTCTGCAGTGGTTTAGAATGTTGTAAATTTACAAGAGGGGGGAAAAGAAGAAGTTGATGACTCCAGGTTTCAACAGCTCAGAAGCCAACCAGACTTTGCAAAAGCCTGTAAAAAAATCAGGGCATGACAATAAAAAATTAGATTAAAAAGTATGTATATCCTTTTCTTTCTTTAATTTAAAAATCCTGCCTCAGGGCCAGGCTTGGAAGCAGTTGGGTTATAGGGATCATCACTATCAAAATCACTTTAGCTGCAATTCATTCCTGTTGGCTTCTGACTTTATTCATTATGAGCTTCTGCTAGAGATCTTGATTTTAATAGAGCTGGTAAACATTGGGGAGACTTTCCTAAATCTCACCTGGTGATTTGGGGAGAAGAAAAAGGTGTGAAACAATTGAATTTAGTATATACAAGAATTATTTTCAAATTGGATACATCGGGCTCTTTGTTAAAACTGGGGTGCAGTTTTGTCTTGTAATGTTTTCTGAAAACAAAAAGATTGTGAAAAGATGCGAAAAATGAGCAGAACAAGAAGAAAAAAAAATCCTTATTTTCAAACAAAGAATCCCTTTATCCCATTCACAAAGATGAAAGAGTTCATTAGTAAATGGGATTTGAAACCTCACACTGATTTTTTTTGACAGTACAAATGGAAACTCATGAAAGCAACCTTAGGACAGAGGCCAGCAGGGATTGTAGGGAACTTGGAGAATGAGCTCCTGCTTTTGCTTTCTGAGGTGGCCAAGTTCAGGGTGAGGAATATTGGCAGAGGGTAGCAGGGGAAGGTGGAGCCTGGAGCTCTTCATGTTCTACCTGTTCTGTGCACAGTGTCTTTTAGACCCCTAAGTTTTTAGTGTCTCCAAGTCACATTCCAGATGATGTCAAAGGCCTTTTCCAACCTAAACAATTGTATTATTCTATAAATAGGAGTAAACTACCAGCCCAGGTTAGATGCTTCTTTCACACTGAAAGTGTGGGGGATTTTTTTTCAGGCAATGGGTTTAATAGCAATTTCAGCATTAACATTGTCCTAGCTTGTAAATTGTTGAAATTTAGTTCCCAAAATATACCTAGGGTCTTGCAAAAATTCCGAAAACAGTAAGACTTCTTGCAGATTTATTTCTGTTAGCTGATTCCATGTACTTTGAAAGCAATAGAAATTCTCACAGTTGTTTATGATGGGTTATGACCTTTATCAGGCTGTATTTGTTAGGGGTGGTATGCATATAATTAGTGTTTGGCATGCCCTTGCAAAATGGCAAGAACCCACATGAACTAAAATGAGGCATGATGAATATTTACGGCATGTTTACTGTAGCTTTCTACCATGTTTTATGGTATTCTTTTTTTAATATTGCCTCAATCCTTAGTGCTAGAATATGTTCATGGACACAAAAGATTGATTTTTGTGGCTCCCGAAATTAGAAATGGGTTTCCCTGCAGTTACAAGGGCTTTCTCCGTACCTCTGATGTGCCCTGTCTTTTGGGTCGATTATTTTCCACTCACTCTAGAATCTCTTTCCCTGTCCTTCTCTTCCTCAGAGCTACATTGCCACATCTTTCTTCCTCTCAACTTTTGGACCCATGGTGATGCTTTTCTTCTTTGAGCCAGCAAGACTTAACTGTCCTTCTCACTACCTTTAGACAGCATAGCATTGCCTCTCTTCCCTTGCCCAGACCATCCTACTGCCTGTACCCCCACAGCTGGGCAGATACTTCATTTTCAAAGGTCATTCTTCATTCTGCTGGGGAGTTTTCTAGTGAATGGCAAATAATACAAAAATACTTTAAAACTAAAGTTAGACAGGAAGTTTGGGAGGAATTTTCTCTGAAAATACCAGAAGCAACCAGAAAGAGTCAGCATGGTAGGGTATATCAATTATTGGAAAAATGCACAGATGTACAGATGGTTTCATAAGGCCTAATTTATGTATCTGGGAAAAAAAAAAAAAGGCTTGAATTTTATGGACCACCTATTCAAATCAGTTTGAAATCTTCACTGACCATTTTGCATGCACAGTCACTAGTGCTTGGCAGAAAACAGCACCACATATTTATTATTATGAGAAGTGTTCAGAAGCCAATCTACTTTAAAATATCAGGGTGTTTTTGGAATGATTCAGATCAAATTTTTTTTCCAAGCAAAGGAAATAAAAACTCTGTGATAGCCATCTGCTCCTCAGCTGTAAAAGGCAGAGGTGAAGAAAGCCTAAAGCAATAGTCTGAATGCCAGTCTTACTGATATGAATACTTAGCAAAAAAAAAAAAAAAAAAAAAAAAAAAAAAAAAAAAAACCAAAAAAACAACCTGGGTAAAGTCATATGTGCTGTACAACATAATTTAGGATTTCATTCTGTAGCATAGTATATTCTACATGCTGCTTCTGGTGCCACTTATTCCAAATGAAATTGCATTATTCCTCAAATTTGTAGGACTGGGTCCTAGATTTCTGGGTTGGAACACTTATTTCCAGCATGGATGAATCTTTGAAGCTAAATCCAGAACACGGGATGCACTGTGTCCAGTTTCATCTCTTTTAGTCTTGAGAAATGCAATACAGTTGGAAAAAGAAGTTAGAGGAAGGGGTACTTCCTGAGGTAACTGTTTTCATGGGGCATTTGGCAGATAAAAAAATACCACTTTGAATTAATCTGGAATTAAGTGATAGAGTGAGCTGATAGAAATCCAGCTGAGTTATACCTCTAGCTGCTCAGCTGTCACAAAGAAATCTGTCTGCTTACCCAGAAGAAAGGTGCTCCTGCAAGGACAAGCACAGGTTCTGGAAAGGTCATAAAAAAGCAAAGGAAAGCAATGAGATTGGTTCTATTCACATTTTTTTCACATATTTCCTTGCCTATGGATAGAGAATGCATAAAGTACATAATAAGGTTGTAGTTCAAAGGCTGAGCAGCTTCAGGTAAAGTTTCTAAAGATTTCAGTGAGAGAAGGTCATCAGGACCTGGCTGTATTTAAATTGGTTTAGTCTACATAGGCCACTTATTTCAGGAGCCTTCAGAAAGCATCTCTAACTGTATATGTTTTGCAAGTGTGCCAAGAGATAAGATCATTTTGGCAGAAACTTTCATGAGTTCTCAAAGATACAATCAGACAAAACCTTCATTCAGGCTCTGATGTATGCATCTTAACAGATGTGTCCAAACTCAAAGGAATCCCACGGGAACAGTGCAACTGAATCTCTTTGTCTCTATTGATAGTTAAAAGAGTTATTCTTAGACATTGGATGGTCCATCTGTGAAGGAATTTGTTCCAGACAAGACAAAAGAAACGTCTTTGCAAAGAGTTTCCATGGGACTGAGAGGCAGGTTGGACATTCACTGGAAAAACTTCTGAAGCAGTATTTATGATTTTAGAGGACACTGAATTCTTGCAGAGACCTGACATTCTGGTAAGGAATGAGTTGAGAAGAAAAGTAAGGCATGAATATGTTTTTTTAAACCTGTTAAACAATCATTAACAGGTTGTTGAAATAAGGGAGGACTTTCTAAAGTTATGTTTTAGCAAGGGATGGGGGTGGTTTTTTGCATTAAATAGAATGCACTTTATAAATACTGTCAGTGATAGACCACATCTGAACTCTTTGCCCCTACATGCTCAAGTACCATGGCTGACTTGGTCCAATTCCAGCATTTTTCAGCTTTCACAGGACAGGAACTTTGAAGCAGAGTATTTGGGTTTTTTTTTTCCTTCTAACTGCTGATTTTTGTAGCTTCTTAGCCTTCCAGTATGACAGGAAAAGACAAAGTGGGAACCTCACAAGATTCCTGGACTCCATAGAGCATTGAGAGTCAATATGGAAACTCTGGGATTTCATTTTCTCGAGCAGCTAGAGGGACCCACCATTCCCTTCCCAAGAATCTGCCAGTTCAATTTGCCTGGGGCTAGTATAGAGGCTGGGTAGATCTGAAAGTGGTTTGGCCTCATCTCTGCCTTTCAGGTTTCCTGTGTTTCTCTTCAAGGTTCTGTGGCAGGAAGGGAATGGTTACATGCTTTGATGGTCTTCCCCCTCTCCCTGGAAATTTGTGGCTGTGATTCCCTAGGTACTGCTCTGGAGCTTTCAAATAGTCTTCACTCTCAGTGAAGACAGGAGGCATCCCGATTCTACCAGCTTCCTTGTTTAGGGAGTCAGGCAGTATGTCAATACTCATTTCAGCTGTATTTTCGCTAATCTATGTATGGCATGTCTTAGCTAATGCTGAATATTTTTAGGTTGTTTTTGGTGACC